CATCTATCCACACTGTTTAATTCTCTGATGAACCACTAATCTACCTGCTATTTTGTCACCAAGGAGTAACGTTGAGAGGATAAAGATCATTTTGAGGGGATTGACTAATTTGAAGACTAAATTTAAATTCATTGAAAAAGGTAAGAATAGTTGACAACAAAAATGGAATTGAATTATAATGACGATTGCCTGCTAATCCATCCACTGGGGGGAAACAAGATGATTGACTGCAAAATCAATCTATTACTGTAAGTTAAGCAAGATCTGTATCCGGTTTAATGTTCTACTGGTTTAGTTTCACGCCTTTTTCTATTTCATGTGGTGATTAAATGTTTGTATATCAGCATGTCACATATATGTGATGCATATGTGTGTACTCTTGTATATATGTGGTGATGTTTATGTTCTTATAAATATATATATAAATGCACAGATGGTGATGAAACACGTGCTTGGAGTCGATATTTATTTGTTAACTGAGATATGGGTTCATTTTAAACCTGAGTGCTTTCTTGGAAAATCAACTGCACTTGATCTTTTTAAAGACATTTTCAAAGAAGCAAGCTAATTTTGAAACCATGCCTCTTGAGAGGATTGTGAAGTTCCTGTTTGTAGACCTCTTGTTTCTTGTTTGGTTTCATACACTTCTATTTCTTTATTTGGCCTTCCAACTTCTGGAAACTCTTTCAAAATTAATATCTTGTGAAGTATAATAAGCATTCCCCTCTTTACATTTTGTCACCAATTCTGGTTGATAATTGGATTACATTATACTTTTTTCATAAATCTCCTTTTTGACGTGATTTTACCATTTTTCGCTAGATTGTATGACATTACCTGTCAAATTGATTTGAGGAAAATGGTTCACCGGCACTTGATCAATTAAGTTTACGTACATCAGCTAGTTGGCGTGGCATATGATTCGTTCTTACCTACTGTAGCCTTATGCTCCAGTAGTCTCTGCTCCCTTGATATTTGCAATCTTCTAAAAACATTTACTTATAAATTAATTTGTAGTTGGTTGTGGCTTCTTTGGAAGCTGGTTTTTAGTTTATCCTTTCTACAGATTGCTGTTTATATTTATCCTTCTACCCCAATGAGTCCAGCTAGGCAATTCCATTGATGTCCCAGTATAGTAGCATGCTGTAAATTCTGCTGGTAATTGAAAAAAAGTAAAAATAAAATGAAAGGACAAACCTTCAATCTAATGCTTTTCTCTTACAGTTGCTATGAAGCTGAAAAAAAACGTGAGGACAGAGAGAGACATCCTATCTATCAAAAGGACAAGCATGTACTTTATCCAGTAAGTTCTACAGGATTATTGTATTCTCCAATGTGGTTTTGTATACACTTGAGTGTTCTTTTTGCATTCTTGTCTCTACTTGTTATTCTTTCATGTGGTGGAATAGATTCATCAAAATTCATGGATTTAGTTTAGCTTTTGGATTGAGAAATTGGTAAATATTCAGGTTGAAATCACTGATGTCACTGGTGATACCAAAGATAAAGATGAGATTCTTGAGAGTGAATTCTTTGATACGAGACAGGCATTTCTCAGCCTTTGTCAAGGAAACCATTATCAATATGATACCCTTCGCCGTGCTAAGCATTCCTCAATGATGGTTCTCTACCATCTTCACAACCCCACAGCACCAGCTTTTGTAATAACATGCAATGTGTGCCACCTTGATATAGATGCTGGTCAAGGTTGGCATTGTGAGACATGCCCAGATTATGATGTATGCAATACTTGTTATCAGAAAGATGGTGGAATTGATCATCCTCACAATTTAATTAGTCATGCATCCAATGATCGTGATGCACAAAACAAAGAAGCAAGACAAATGCGAGTTCTGCAGGTATGCTGTTTATCTCACTTCTTTTTCGCGCATTGGACGTCATTCTGCAGCTTTTATGTTCTTTTGCCTTTTGAGTTCTACCTGTCGTTTCCTTTTGAGGTAATTAGAGAGTATAATGCACCTTAAAGATCTTAATATCTTAAAGATGACATGTCACTAAACATTTAGGTGGGACGGAATGCTCCGTTGGGCGAAGCTCCTATAACTGGATGAACATCCTAATAATTAGGAAGGGCGTGAATTGCACCGAATCAAAATAATTGACGAAGATAAAATAGCTGGGTAAAAATTAGTACTTTAAGCTGATTTGTCCGCTAGGGGTACAGGCTCTCATAAATGCCTGAACAATCAAAATGTGATGTTCATTTAAAATGCTTCATTTGGGTCTCTCTCTCTCATATATACTCTGTTAGTTTCTTGTATAGTCAAGGAGAGTTACACATTGACCTTGGAAGCATTTATTTCTGGATGGAGATATTGTAACTCTGCTGTCTTTTGGACTTGCAGCTTAGGAAAATGCTCGATCTCTTGGTACATGCTTCTCAGTGCCGTTCCCCACATTGCCAATATCCAAACTGTCGTAAGGTCAAGGGACTTTTCCGCCATGGTATGCTGTGTAAAATACGTGCTTCTGGAGGTTGTGTTCTTTGTAAGAAAATGTGGCATCTCCTTCAGCTTCATGCTCGAGCATGCAAAGAATCTCAATGCAATGTACCACGTTGCAGGTTCGTTCTACCAATTCTTACAGCACTTCCCTAGTCGTTCACTCTTTCACTGTAGTGGAGAATTGTTTTCATATATAAAAAAAAAAATTATGCTTATGAAATTACACATTTGATGTAGAGATTTGAAGGAACACATGAGACGGCTGCAGCAGCAGTCTGATTCCCGACGAAGGGCTGCTGTAATGGAAATGATGAGGCAGCGTGCTGCAGAGGTTGCTACCGATTCTTGACGATGCTGCTGCTGCGGCTGTTGTTGGTGTATATATTCTACTCACAACATTTAGAAGATACTATTTCCGAGCCAGGCTGATAATTTAGTAGAACTGCGGTGCTGACAGAGACCAAATGGTGAAGAAAATGCGGTGTTGAACACTGCAGCAAAATAATTTGCGGGAGTTCCTATTCATTTACAATTCTAAAGATAAGCTTGATGGCGAAGTTACAGATCAGGGACTGCTGGCTTCTGCACCAACTCATTATTCGGAAGGAAAGATCTCCGAAAGTGCGTTAAGGCAGCAATTTTTTGAATTTTCTGTTGTATTTCATCTCTTGCCCGCATTTGATGACAAGTCTGTGTACCGATTGTTTACAAATTTTCTGATTTTTTTTATTTTTTTATTTTTTGGCATTTTTGTCATCTTGTTATGGCACTCAAAATTTTACTTCATGTAGATTCTACTTTATATATTTCTTTTTGTTAAATTGTAATCCTTGATGTATCGTATTGCCCTTTTTTGTGACGTTGGTTTATGTTAAACTTTTCCCTTGATAATAATATATAGAAAGTTAGTAGATGAAATTTTTACTGCTTCAAATTAAAATTGGAGTACAGAGTTTGTTTAAATTATGGGAGTACAACCATGATTCAATCAAATACAGAGTAGGATTAAGAACCAATAAAGAATATAACACCCAAATTATGGTAGTGGGATCCCTTTCCTCTTCTTGAAATGCCTTGATGCAGCTTTCAGTACCTTTGCCCATCCCTGCACAAGCACATATTTCCTTTATTTTGTATATAACGCCCAAATCACTGTGTTTAACTATCCGAAACTGTACCTCTGGGATACGGAGGAAGAAAGTTATTTAAAAGTAGCTTTTAAGTTTACACATGTATTTTGCTAAATTTAGAAGTTACTATTAATACTTGTACCTTCTCTTAGGCTTAGCTAAACGCGGGCCGTTTGATTCTCATTATTGTAGAATGAGAATGAAAAATATAGCCGTCATTGGATCTCGATATAGAAATTCAAAATCGCCAAGAATCATTGGTTAAAGAAATTGAAGAATACAAACAATCCAATCGAGCAAAGAGAAATCCGCTGCATTGTGACCCACAATTTTTAGTCGAGTAATGACTATCATTTGGGAGTAAAGAAGTACCTTTCTTGGTGCTGGGGAGGTGGGACTTAGCTGATGAGAAGAAGGGACCGAAGAAAATTCCATAGATTTCCGCTTTCTCCTTTTCATCTTTTGGTACTTGTGAAGATGATCAAATACAGCATTTGTGAAATTCCTCTTGAACTTGGCCGTCATTTTCTTGGTATTTTCCAGCAACCCATCTCCTTCCTCGTACGATAATTTCCTCGAAACAGAGACGCCACTTTTTTCTTGATAGGAATGTATGGGCGGAGGGAGCAAAGGGGACCAAATGGAACTCTGGGCGTAGTCGAAATCGAAAGCGGAGTTGTCGGGGAACTTGTAGAGAAGATCTCTGGACATGGACGTTTCTAGATACTCCACAAAGATTACCAGTGTAGATTCACCATTGTTACGATTAATGCCCATTCTGGATTAGGCTAAAATGTTTATGGGTTTTGAATATATGCTATTTAGATTGAAGGAATGGAGGACAGATATAGCCGTTGGAATTGGATTTCAGAGCTTGGGAAAAGACAAAACGGGACCCAACGGTTACTTGATATGAACAATATTTTGAGTTGTTGGACGAATCTCATGACTCGATAATTTAACGAAGTTTATTGAATTCAAAATGTTCTGTTGGAAATGAATAATAATATTGAAAACAAATTAGGGGTTTATTGTCATCTAGATTTATAATCATCGTTATCATTATAAGCTCGTGTTAAAATGATTTTTACGTTCTTTGTATTTTACGGAAAAATCCCTCATTACAGGACAAAAAACTATGAGACTGTAATTCGATTAAACCGCGTTACATCTCAAATAAGGAGATTAATAGACTCTAAATAGTAAAGAGGAGTTAAAGTGCCACTAAGAACGTTATTTTCTTTTATTATTAGAGGTTCTCGTTCTCTCTATTTGTTTCTTAAAGCACACTTAGAAAAGTAGAAAAACAAAGAGCCCCATTGCTCCGGCCCCGCCACCACCCACCACCAAAAAAAAGGCCACCTTCAATCTTCCAACCACCACCAGCAGCTTATACTGAGCCTGAGCATGCTGTTTGGTGTGTTTCCAAGCCAACAATACCTACTTCATCAACTCAACAGGCTTTGGATTATGCGTGCGCCTCAGGTACGCTGCTAAACGTGTGTCTGGTTGGAATTTTAATTGTAATTCCAACCGTTGCAATGGAAAAATTGGACCGTTGCAATCAATTTCTGGGCCCCAGCTGTGAGTGGAGCAGTCAATTATTGCTGCTGGTTTGCTGTTAACGGCTATAAAAATGATTTTAATTTGTTTGAAAAAGTGTTCCCAAACACAGCCTAAGACTAAATCTTCTTAGATTAGTTCGATCTAGATGTAGGAATTTTTAAAAACACGAGATTTAGTTAGTTATTAGCCGGGGTTGTACATTTTCAGGTGCCGATTGTGAACCTATTAAGCTCAATGGGTTCTGCTACCAGTTGGAGACAGTACTATCACATGCATCCTACATTTTTAATAGTTATTGGCAAAAGACTATAAACGGTGGAGGAACTTGCGACTTTGGAGGCTCTGAAATGCTTGCCACCGTTGATCCAAGTAAAATAAATGCCTCATGGTAATCTTCACTACCATAATATTACTTAAATCCAAACTGACGTTATTAACAAGCACGTGAGAATCACATTCTTTTACACGAGTAAAATCGTCTCTCCACTTTCGAAATGTTAAGACGCACATTGTTGAATAGCTTCTTTTGATAAGAGATCAGAACAAGAAGTTTCATGTGACAATTAGCAAATTCAACAAAGCCATGGCACGAAAAAACAGAATATTTGATAGAAATTCAAAAAATCATTCGTTATTAAAGTCTTATATTTAGAAATTAAGTCATAAGTTAATTATAAAAAATACTTGCATTTACTTTTCACGCCTTCTTTTTTCTACAAAATACTTTATTTAGACACATATTTTTTTATACTTAAATACTTTTATGCAGGTTATGATCGATGCCATTTCATCTACAGTTGATAGACTATTTAATCCATATATGCATAAAATCTGAAAACCATGCGATCCATTTAATTAATTTAATAATAATTCATACATATTATATTATTTACGTCGTGACTTCAGAAAATGAAATGAAACTCTTTAATAAATTAGATAAAAATAATAATTTTAATTAAAAAAATTTGCAATTTTCTTCTTTTTTTTTCTTTTTCCCTATTTCGATTCTCATTAGTTTCTTTAATGAGACATTTTTCCCTTCTCAATCTCTACACCCTCTGCAGATGCAAATCTTTCTATTATCGTCCCCCTACCCCCACGCAATAATTTATTATATTTAACATCAGTTAAATTTCGAGATATAGACAATATATAAGAGTTTAAATCACTCCTTTCTCAACAATAATCAGTTAACAGGAACAGTGCCCAAGCAACACCAGGCAAAATGAAAACGCTCTACTTGCAACACAATTACATAACAGGATACCCGACATCATTTCCTCAACAATAATCATTTCTTATTATGCAAAACACATAGAAATGGCCTCATTCTTATGGCTGCTGAAGATGACTTGAGACATTATGCAGCGTACAATACAGATATTTGATCTTGATACCTTGGTGTCAGCCTCACGAGGAAAATCAGTATACAGATATCATAAATTTCTACTTTTTTTCTTAGACAGGGCATGATAACCAATTAGCAGGGAAAATTGAAGAAAAGAGTTGAGTTAGCTGCAGCCTTATCTTGATACAAGGCACATGGCATGAGAAGCACCAACAGCTACAGAAAGTACATTGTGATTTCCTAGTTCATCGTTGTCGTCGTCATCTACAAGAAACTTTACTTCAATAGGAGATGATTGTACCTCCGGCAGTCCAGGAATACCGAGCTGGCAATCTTTGGCATTTCCCCACATGTACAACTTACCTTTGTCTGCATAGCAACTCTTATTCAGTTAGCCTTTTGCACAATGTGTTTCTTAAAACCATTCAAACATAAGAAAAAAGTTTTAACACGTGCATTAGACAATGTTTGGCAAGCTTCTAAGCCCCTGTTTGGTTTAGATAAAGTCAAATTTTTAGTAGATTTTGATCAAAGTTGTGGGTTCCATGATATGCACGATTAAAATTAATAGTTGACTTTGACTTACATTTTAATCAGTTTTCTTAGCTGAACCAAACAAACAGGGCCATGTATGTTTGGATAGGAAAAGAAGCAGAATATTTTTACAGCAACTCGGATTGTTTAGAACTTTGATTAGCAAACTTGTAATTGCATTTTCTATGCTAAGCCAAACTCGCCCATAATAAGATAATTGTATCCTGTTGAATACTTCGCTATTGATGTTCATTATTATGATCTCTATAATACGTGCACATGCTAGATTTAGGGTATCATTGGATAAATGCCCCTCTATAGATTCTTAAGACTTTTTCCTCGGGCATTTCAAAAGTCTAATTCTTTAATCTGAAATAACCTTGACCTCCTCGTAAAGTGATCCAAAATGGACAACTTGAAGCTCACAGCCAAATGAGGGAATATCATTTTAGTAGCTATAGAGTTTTTCTCAACTGGGACATTTAGAATTGTCTGATTCAATGTAACAATCCATCCACCATTATGGGCTGGGGATTTAAGTTGGACTTCTGCAACTCAGGAGAAGGCAAAAAGGAGAGTAAATAAAAGAGAAAAGAAGCAAAAAGATCCATGGTAGGAAACCACCCCTGCTGGGAAGAAAGATATGAGAAGCTGGCATAGGGAAAAAGGTGGAGAAAGCATGCAGAGGGAGTTAAGAAGAAAGAGATTGGGAGTGTAGCATACAGAGATAGGGAAAGGGGAGGTTTGGGAAAAGGAGGTTGGGAATTCACGTTGGCAATAGATGAAAGGGTGGAACAGGCAGACGGCTGGTGTCGGGGGTGCACAGAAGGGTGGTTTTCTCTTGTAGCTAGTGTTTTAAAATTCCCTTTTCTTAAATAAAGGCAACATTGTCCTCACATAAAATATTTACAGATTAGAAAACAAAATCTGTCAAAAATTAACAATTTTGCCCATTAATATCCTAAACCCTAAGTGCCATAATGTCATTAAACTTGAACCCAGGTACATAAATGGTTTTCACCATCGAATGAGACTGATGTAGAGTGTAGACCAAAAATCAAGAAAATAGGCATTGCCTTTGGTAAGTGATGCACAAATACTGATGTCAAACTAGTCTGCATCCCTCCCTGTCCAGGTGAAACACACGCAACCAACCCTAGAATGCCTTTTACTTTATATCTTCTAGAACTATTTCAGACATGTGAGTATGAAATGAGAGCAAGGAGAAAGAAAATAAATCATGTCAAACCCTTCGTATAATATTAGCATTATATATATTGATTTATCTTACCAGTTATAGCTGCTGATGAAGAACCTCCACAAGCAATATAAGTAACCCTCTCATTAGCTAAGGCCTCAATTCGTTCAGGAGCTTTCTGATTATGAAGGGAAGAATGACCCAACTGGCCATGTCCACCATGACCCCATGAAAGCACTTCCCCTTTGTCTGAATTCATTTGAGGAACAGCCAAATAAGATACATATATCATTTCTATATACATCGGTACATGTGCATAAAGATATTCCTGTGGGGTTGTAAGATTCTCCACTCATCGTACCAGTCAAAGCAAGAGAATGATATCCACCACTTGCTATCTGAATTAAACGCACATCTTTCAGGCTGGGAACAGGCTGTGGTTTCCAGCCACCAACTTTATCGCCTCTACCAAGCTCATAGTTGGAGTTTGCTGTGGAAAGAAAAGAACATTAGATGTTTTTAATCAACTTTGAACAAAATTGGTAAGTTGAAAGGCTAAATGAAAAGTTATCATTTGACAAATACAAGGCCCATTAAACATTCAACCAACCCCAGAAGAAAAAATAAAATAGAATGAGAAACCTAGACGAACTTTGATACATGTCATTGTGACTTTCTGATCTTGGATATACATTAATTCTTAGTAGAAATCTTGGCTCTTGCCTAATTGTCGGTAAATGACCAAGTGTAAATCAATCAATTTCCTGTCAAGACAGTCTTACAATTGCTTTTCCTGCCTTCCAAGTACCGAATATATATTGGACAGAATAACTAAATATTAAGCATAACCAAAACTTTTGTTGGACTTCGAAAAGAAACTGAACTATATAATGTCATTAGGTATCATGAGTAAGGAAATGATAAAGTTAATCGTAGCCGAGAGTTTAGGGATAAATGTCGAACACTCTCTTTTAGACATGGGCAGAAAAGGAAAAATAGGTACAGGAAACAAAAATTTAAAAAACAAAAAGGCCATAATATACAAAACATAGAGAGGGAAAGACCCTCAGCAAGGCACCTCCCGACCAACTTGTTGCCCTGTAGAGGCCACCCCATACCATAAACTAACCTTGAGGGAATCTACCACTGATCTATCAAGTGTTGAGATCCAATAATTGTACAATTTGATTAATCGTAAGTCAAGCAAGAAGCCTTATCAATCTTTGTAAATAGTGTGGAGAGGACTAGCACCCAAGAGAAATGAAATAATGAATCAATTGATAATTTGCCTTCAATCCTCTTAGCGTTCTCTTTCACCTTCACATATCACACACAATCTGCTCATTTTATTATTTTAAACAGGTGAGGTCAACTTCTCTCTTTTACTCTACAATGATGCACTCAGATTTCAATCAAGTTTCTTCCCATAATTGACGAGATATAATTTCTAACAATAGACATAGCACCCTTACCACCCCAGTTCCAAAGTTGCCCCTCTTCAGTCAATGTCATTGTGAAAAAGCCACCACATGAAACAGCAACCACTGGCACGGGCAGTGCTTTAACTTCAAAGGGAATGCTGAGACCACCTGCTTGGTCTGGACCGCGACCAGGACCAAGGCCCAACCTACCATCACCTTCATCTCGGCCCCATATGTAAAGTTTTCCTTCATCAAATATAGAGAAATAGTTTTTTAAACAAGATCAGGGAAAAAAAAGGAAAGTATTTCTGCATCAACTACAGACTGTTTGATGACCCCTATAGTACATTTAGTATGAATTCACAAAATAGTTGCAATATTCTCATCTCTATTTTACATTACAATTTTTTCACAATACAAATTTCCTGTGTGCCCCGCATCCATCAAACTGTAAAACAATGCACTGCTAACATAAAGCAAACATAACGTAGTACCTAGATAAATCAGAAAGGATTTCAGAATAAAAAGTTAAATAACAGTAAAATAACTTGAAAGATCACCAATGGACTATAACTTGGATCAGAACCAATTTCTAAGATAGATTCCTCCATATTTGCTCAAGCATTATTTCAGAGCAGCAGCAAGAAAGAGAACTGCTACTAACTTAAGGTGCTGTGGTGATAGAATTAGAACCCATTGAGGCAGGCCTCGGCTGTGGAGGGATTGGGGCGGGGGGGTCAAGCAGTCAAAATTGACGAACTGTAGATCCGTTGAAGTTTTTATACACGATGGGGTGCATCAAGCTGCATTATGTAGTTGTAACCTAGATCATAATGAGATGACTATCAAATCCATCAAACTGGAGAATGGGACAATTCAACAGGAAAAATTATAATAAAGACTGAATAGCAAAAGACAGTGTGCAAACCAGGCTCTAACTAATTGAAAAACAGAGTATAATTTAAATAAAAGACACAGGATGAGTAGTTCTTAAAACGTATCAAACCAGACACGGATTATTCCTCTAACATTGCTTACAGTGATGTGTACTGCTGATTACATTTTTCACAAAAACGTTAACATAATTATAACGTCAGTTTTGAGGTGGCACTATAAGATGGAAATTCAATGACTTTTTCTATTTTCTCTATATTATGTCATTAAAAAACCCTAAAGCAGATAGTGTGCTTAAAAATGACTAAAATTATGTCGTTGGCAAAAAAAATTAAAGCGGATCATGCTCAAAATGGACCATTGACTGGATGGGAAAAAAAAACAGGATAATTATATGGCACTCATTCATACTGTTGAGTACAAGAGTGGATCATAAGCTGAATTCTGTGGTGTGATAAGGCTAGCGGTAATGGGTGAACAGACCAGACATAAAAATGGCATGGAAAAAACACGAGAAACTACTGAGTAAGTTATACAAAAAAATGCATAATACTATTTGGATGGAAATAGATGGAATTCAGTGGATTTAATAACATCATTTTCTGTAGACTTCAAACACAAATTAAAACATGAGACATAGAATTCTCCTCTGATGTATATTACAGTTATCCCAATAAGATAGATACCCCACTCGGGTGACAAGGTAATGAAAAAGCAAGGGATAACGTTAATCAATATTTTGGTCAAGGACATACACATCAACAGAGTCAGGTACAATTATAAAGTCGACTTGTATTACTGAGTGTTGACAAACAAATTCAATATGAAATAAGTTCAAGGAGCTCCATAGTCAATTTAACCAACTCAAGATTGACCTACAACTATAATTGCCAGCACTAGAATATTTCTTTAAGATACGATTTCACCGTCTAAGTCCACCAATCCTAGGAAATCAAATTATTTTAACAAAATACTTAAAAGATGAATTATTCTTCTACAAACATGGATTTATATAATGAAATATCTTACCAGATTTAGTGATAGCAGCTGTATGTGTCCCACTGGTGGCAATATGGCAGATTTCTCCATCCCAAGATCCTTCAACCAATCTAGGTAACAGCTCCCTGTGGTACACAGAATGTCCAAGAGCACCAAACCCCCCATAACCCCTGAAAACTTCATTTTTGAATGCAAGCATCAGACTTGGAAACAAATGCAGTGAAAATGAAGTAGCTTGATCGTGCTATGCAAATCTTCAATGGATTTGACAACAACTCAAAAGCTATAGGGTAATCTGATTTGGGATGAAATAAAACTAAAACAGCTGAATGAAACTACATAGTGATCTGCAAAATAGCATTCTTAAACATGCCAGATGGTTTTAAAAGTTTGATGATTCTGTTATGAACTTCATCTCAAGGTATTGTAATTACCAAATTAGACTTATCTTATTTAATTTTCAATAATTGTCTCATTTTAAATGATCTAAATGTCACGCACCGATACTTCAAATTGTCACTGAAGTGGATCAGTTGACGGTAATAACTTAGGCAATATCAAGACAAGCGAACTAGTGCAGATAATTGAATACAAAACTGGAACACAAGTTCATATAGTAGTATTCCTCTACCACTATAACTCCGTGAAACACTATTTTCCAGTACATCCTTTACACTGAAGATGTGGCAAAAGGGTGGGTACTGACCAAGTAAAGACGCGGCCGAGGGAATCGAGAGCAACAGAATGGAGACCACCAAGAGCTATGCTTTTGACAGCCGAGTCGAAATTAGGATTCATTTTAGGAACAAAGACAGAGTCCTCATTTCCAAACCCGAGGCGGCCGCCATCGCCCTTGCCCCATATCCACAGCTTTCCATCCACCACCAAACCCGAATGGAAAAGCCCACAAGAAATCCCTATTTCCACCTGGCCCCCAGACCCGAGAACATTTGAACACTGGGAAGAGAGGCGACCTGCGGTCGAGGAAGAAAGTTTGAAAGTGGGAGGGAGAACAAGGGTTGCAACGGGTGACGGGTACAATCGGATTTCCTCGATTCCGCCGCCAAGTTGGCCAGATGCCCCACGACCCCAGGATAGTAGTTGGGTTGTGACTGCCGATTCTTTATTTTGCTGTGGGTCGTCTGTGGTAATGTTGTAGTTTGTATAGTCCCAGAGAAGGGGCGCTTTCATGTCGCTGGCAGTGGACATGCAGCGCCACCAGTTGTGACGGGAGGTGGAGGAAGATAGTCGACCGACGGCGTGGCGGCGGAGGGCCATTAAAGAGGAAGTATTGTAAGACCGTCACTACAAACTGCAGGTACAAAAGACGAGGGACGAATCCAGCCGCTAAGTGCGATCCTGAGTAAAATGTTTCATTAATCACTGAACTTTGTACATTGTCATGTTGTGGTCACTCAACTTTGTGATGCTTCTGACCACTCACTGAACTTACAAACATTTCCTTCCTTCCATCACTCACCACCAAACTGTTTGTATGTTATCTGAGGTGGCATAACGGCAGCAGACGTGGACATGGACGACGTCAAAAATTTTGCCACACACAATTTTCCTTCATTTCGTATAAACCGAAATCCCCCAATTCGAAACCCTAAATGTCAACCCAACGATCCTCCCTTCCAAACCCGAATCGAAGCCACCTGAAGCGCCACCCTTCCAATCCGAAAACACCACCTGAAGCGCCATTAAATTCCTCCAAAACCTTCAGTTGAACGAACCTGTTCAGCCACTGCACAAGATCGTTACTTGTAAATTTCAACCCACAATGAGTTCAAACATGGATGCAGATCACGGAGGTAAAACCCACCATTAATCTGATTTATAGTATATTTAGGTTTTCTTTTGTTTATTGATTTTTCTGGGGTTTTGTTTACTTGAATTCTGCTGGTGGGTCTTCTAAAATATTTTGGAATTATTGATGATGATGAATTAATTGATAGTGAAATGGATATATTGTGGTAGTTGTTCAGGCAAGCTCACTGATAAGAACTCATGCTACAGTTTTTGACCACTCGTTCTTTGGTGATAATCAGCTTCTGCTATTGCCTTTTGGGCAAGCTAATGAGATTGGCATTTGCTTCTGTAGGCAACATTCTTAGACAAATATAATTGCAAATCAGATTGTTGGTTTTCACACCACCCTGGCAGCCAACCATGTGGTAACAGGTTTCGGAGTAATGAATCTGTGGAACAATTGGCAGAATTTTCAGGATTTTAGATTGGTAAATGGTGAGCTGGTATGGGCTCTCACATGTGCAGAGTACCATCAATAGCTGCAGGCGAATTTCTCCCCAATTCTGTGATTCTATTTTGAGCATTTAAGTGCCAAGTTGAACCTGGAATACATTGAGATCTTGTACAGCACATTAATGGAGTATTTGTGCATCTATGTTGTGAAAATATAATTCAATACAACCCAAAATAATAATAAATAAATAAACATTTTTTGAATCATAGACACTTTTCAACCCAAAACTATCATCTATCTTCTTGCCATTACATGCTCAAAAATGGTTCATTGACAAACCTCACAAAAGTGCATAAAGTTTCATCAAATATAGCAATGAATCCAAAGCAATAGTAAGTATTAAGGGAAAGATGCGGAATGCATGCATTTCAATTGTACTGCAACATAAATGGAAAGACTGCAAAATATTTTGTCTAAAAGTTTTAGTCTCTATACGAGCTCGAAATAAACAAATTCTTTCAACTTTAGAGCACTTCTCAAGTCAGTAGCTCAAATTCATTCAGCTATCTCAACTCAACATTCATTCAAGCCAAATATAAGGTACATGGATTAAAAAATGTAGTCAGAGTAATTAAACTACTTGTGTGGCAACTCCAACTTATAATGGCAGTAATCGTTTGACTCCCCATGTGAACAACCATCTTAGCCTCAAGTTTCCTCGAATTCACACAAGCTAGCAAAAGGGCATTCACACTCTTCACGCTCCTTTCACAATTCCTCTCAGACATTTCATTGAACACTTTTTTCACATTCTCAAACATGTCTGATTGTCCATACAATTTGACAAGCCTGATAGAGAAGTTCTCCTTGGAAATATCATGTTTGAATTGCTTCTGATGTTTGAGAATTTCTTCAATCCATTTGAAGCGTTTGGTGGAATTCGGGCGGTGGACCGTGGACTCATAAATGCCATTCTTGTTGCGAAAATGGTCTGACGATGAACAGAGCTTGAATTTCTGGATGAGTTTCTTCAGGCTTCGCTCCTTGTAGAGGTCCTCAGAAAGGCTTGCCTCGCAGTCGTCGTCCATCCGTCTGATTGCCTTCTTCCTTCCACTGTTCTGGCAGATCCCAGCACTTGCAGCCACGTCACCTTGTCAGGTGCTGGGTCCGCCACTGTAAAACACCTATTCCATTCCCTTTTCACCTGATTTTGAGTTGTAACTAGCATATGTTTGTTTGGTAAAGTTTATAATACGCCCACAAACGTCTTTATTTTAAGAAAAATTCACATTCATTTTTAATAACACATTCACATAATAAAATATTACGCACGTAAATTCAAAAAAATTCTCTACATTTTAACCACACATTTTTCAAAAATTCATTATTCAAAACATTAAAAATCCCAAATAATAGCCATCAAACAATAGCTTATATATGTTAATCAATTTTTTTTTACGATTAAACTCAATTTTTAAACACACGTTCAATAGAATTCACAATTTTTATTTACTTTTTCCAGTTAAATCTTGCTTTTGAATTGTTTATATATAGTTTTATTTATAAATAGATAGAAATTAGTGGTGGATAAGTGAATGGTATTACTTTTAGATTTCATAAAACGTGTAGATAAAAATTAATTTGATATTCTTAAGAGGATTTATAAACACTTGTCAAATATAAGCTTAACTCATGTTTGATAGAAATTAAAATCTAAATGTTTGTCAATGTCAATAATTAATTTTAATCATATATTTCATGGGATTCACAATTATTCTATCACGTATTTCATCGACTTCGATTAAAATATGCTAAAAGCCTATTCAATCTCCACAAAACAGGGGTTTAATGTATGTTTGAACTTAATTATAAATTTAATCAGAGAGTATTGACTATTACAAAGCATTTGTGAATGTTAAAATTAATTTTAGAGTTTTATTTGAAATATATGGAGATTTAAATGAAATCCAAACAAGCTTTTACTCCACACATTTATATAAGATCAACATCTTACAATGCTTTGTCAAACAAAATTTGCTTAGATGAGCGAGTCAAAATTTAGATTATCTTCGGATAATATTAAAGCAGTTTAAATTTATTTTTCAAAATCAAACATTAATTTTAACTATATATTTCATAGTATTTACAATTACTACTCACTTATTTAATGTTTTAATTTAGTAACTTATAATTTTGTCTAAGCGCGCACTTATTTGAATATGTTTTATTACAGCTGTGGATATATACCCAACCTATGAAGACAAAAAGAGACCACCGCATAAATATAGGGCTTGTTTGAACCCTATGTTTAAAAAAAAAAAAAGTACATTCCATTTCAAAACTAGGAAACAAACTTAAACTTCAAAAATCAGATATTAATGAAATTTTATTTATGAAATGAATAATTAAATATATATTTTACTAATTAGTTATATAAAGATCACAATTCTATAAAATTGGTCACAAATTATTTTTCGACCACAAATCAAAACTTTTATAAGTCACAAATAAAAAAATTATACGTCAGAATTTATTTATCGATCACAAATCCCAAATTTTATTAGTCACAACTTATTATACAGTCACATATCATTAAATTATCCATCACATTAACAATTTTTTGGGTCACACATTATTTTTTTGTCACGATTTAGACATTTCATTGGTCATGTATTAATCAATTTATTGATCACAATCAACCAAATAATTTGTGACCACTATCAGCACTTATGACCACCACTTCACTACTGCCTCTAGTAGCACTGCTGCCAACGACAATGTCGCCAAAATCACCACCACCTCCCGGAACATACCAACACTACCACCTCCAACAAACTATCATTTTTAGCTTCAAAATCACCACCACCGCAACAAGATCCACCATCGCTACCACCAAGAAAACCACAGCCACCACCTAATCCAACATAACTACCGCACACCGCTGGATCCAACAAAACCATCGCCTCCCAAACACCACCACCACGAGCACCACCACCGACTGAAAACACACCCAAAAAATCGGACCACGACGTTGCAGATCTTGACCACAATGTGCAACTGGGCTGAATCGGCAAATGAGCAAGAGGCAAGAGTAAGCGAGCTAAACCAGTGATGATCTCACCTACGACGGCGCGATAGCTTTCACATGGTTTCACACAGGAAATAACACTACCCAGAGTCGCTCGTTACAGTCTCTCGATCTCTCCGGCAACGCTCGTCGTCATCGCTCAACCACTGTGTAGAGAGAAAGGATATTTGGAGAGAGAGAAGGAGAGGCTCTAGCTGTATATAGGGAGAAAAAAGATATTGAAAAATAATTAGATTTTGGTATGGTAGACAATAGTAGGGTGGATATGTAAAATAATTTTTATAATATTATTATTAATATTTACAATTTTAATTATATCTGATTTTTGAAGGAAAAACTTATAACTCTTAAATATGAATTGAGATTTTGAAAACTTCACTTTGATTTAATTCTAAAGAGAACCTATCAAAGTGAGAACCATATATCTCATAAATGGAACCATTGGTTCCAAAGTGAACAATGGAACTAAACTAAAATCAGGCAGTTTGGTTTCGTTCGATTTGATTTCATAATTAAAGTTTTTAAAGTTGTAATATTCCTAACTAGTGCTTTCATTATCCTTATTTATAACAACACAAAATCGAACAAATCACACACAACCTTCTGACCTTAAAGCATTTACAACAGAAACAACCTATTCTTTGTTTGTCACTTTACTGCTTCAGTGTGGAAACAAGTTAAAGGATGGCTTGGGATTAGACGCTCCATGTCAACACTTCCAAGTGCCTTGAAATGGATGAAAAAAGAAGCGAGGGGAACTACATGGCATAGTAAGGCAAAAAAGATTGCTCTTGCTAGTACTGTTTATCATGTATGGACGGCGAGGAACAGAAAGATTTTTGAAGGCCTTCATGCACAAATAGAGAGTGTGGTCAGACGGATTAAAACACACATATACAATGTTATGTTTACTTTGTATCCGCATGTTTTAGTTCTTTTTGAGTCTTTAGCACTAGTTGGGTAATTGGTTTTGTAACTTCTCTTGTCTGTCCAGGTAGGCCTGGTTTTTGATGTATTTGACACTTTGTTCCATCATTGTTTGATTACTCGCCCGGGTATGCCCGGAGTACCATGTATATGGCTTTTGATCTATTAATTAATTATTTACCGATCAAAAAAAAGAAACAACATATCAAGTTTTGATTGCAAAGTTTCATCTCAATACAAAATAATAAACATAAAAATTAAAAAACAAGAAGGTTGATTCGGTTTCCAATTTTAGGTATAGAATTTTTATTCTAATCCAATTTAAACTTAATAAGAATCAGATGGTACGTTTTCGGTTGAAATGAATACTTTTGTGTAACCTTACTTGATGTCACATGTCTGATCCGTTCACCCTTTGATAACGTCGAGTTTCCCATATTTCCAACCCTCCCAATCTAGAAACCTACAACTGCCCCCACATCAAACATACAAATATAGTTGCTCCCAATTGTCGTCATGTGCCTCCCATATGCCTTTTTGCCACTAAACTGGAGCATTGAAATTAACTGGAGAACAAGATCACAATGTTGTCGAATAGATGCTCATATCAACCTAAAGATCAATGCAAATCTGATTCGTGTCCCCAAATTCCACCTTGTGATGCCAATTGCCTTGATTCCCGAATCACACATTACCATTGAGAGGCTGTCTGCTGCAGATTTTCTTCTTGATTATTAGTGAATCATCACCAGTTGCAGCCTTTTCTCTCACAAGTGTCAGGCCCAACGTTTAAAAAATCAATTCTTACAAGATAAAAATCTGCACCAGACAGTGCCTGAATATTGCACACATCTTAGATCATGTCATGACATCGACAAGACAACTCCAGTGTCATATCCATTTTCCGCAAATTGCCTTGCTTCACTCCCCAAATATACGCGGTGCACCTGTATCACATACACTTTCGACCACAGCATTGGCATCGGACAAGACAGCACTCGTGCCATGCCTGTTTTCTAGGAAAGGGTCCTCAAACTTGACGAGTTATGAAGTCAAGGTGAATAAAGTAAGAAATTTGAGATATTTTAAGAAAACAAAGTAGATTTTATCCGAAATGCCAATATGGGAACACTGAATTGGGCATTAGCATCCAACCAAAATGCGTCTAGCCATGTCCTCTTCGGCATTGCCCGTACCATTTACCACATCCACCGTCTCTCAAACTCGCCATCACAATTACTCTTCCTTCCTACTCTCTGACCAACAAGCATGCACTCCCCAAGACACCCGCCATCTCCAACTCCACCAAGACACACCTCCAAAATCCAGAACAATCAGATACCGCCTAAGCCAGCTTTGCAAAAACGGCGAAGTCCATCTGGCCCGCCAACTGTTCGACTCAATTCCACATCCGACTACTGTCCTCTGGAACGCGATCATCATTGGCTACATTTGCAACAACTTTCCCCACGAAGCCATCGAGTTTTATTCCCGCATGAAGTGGACCATCACATCCACTTCTCACCCCCATATTTGTGATGCTTACACTTACTCCTCCACTCTTAAAGCCTGTGCGGAAGCGAAGCAACTTTTAATTGGTAAAGCCCTGCACTGCCATATTTTACGTTCCAACATCTACCCCAGTAGGATTTTATACAATTCCCTGTTAAACATGTATGTTACTTGTCTTTTGAGCTCTGCAAATAGTTCTGGATGTGATTTAGTGGAAAGTGTGTTTAATACTATTCCTAAACGCAATGTTGTTGCTTGGAATACTATGGTTTCTTGGTACACAAAAAGGGGAAGATTTCCAGAGGCCGTTGAACATTTTGTGATGATGATCAAAATGGGTATTCGACCCACTGCTGTTAGTTTTGTTAATGTTTTTAGGGCAGTGTCGGGATTAGGAGATGTTGAGATTGCTAATTTGTTTTACGGGATGGTAATAAAACTGGGTAGTGAGTGTGCTAATGATCTGTTTGTTGTGAGCTCGGCCATTTTGATGTATTCAGAGCTTGGTATCCTTGAATTTGCTAAGAAGATATTTGAGAATTGTTTGGAGAAGAATGCAGA